AAACGTTTAATTCTTTTTAGGATGCTGCCACGGTCTTGGTCTCTATAAAAATCTTGTCACAATTATATCCATATCTTCATTGTGTGAAAAATATTTCCTTTTATCAGTTTTGAATTTGCCACTTTTCCATTTCAATGCATTTCCCCTTGTTCTTGTATAATGAGAAAAAGTGAAGAGATATTTTTACCTTCTCTATCTCATTTATTATTTTGTGTACTTATATGCCCTCTCAAGTCCACAGTCTCAATCCTTTTAATTTCTCTTCATACGAGAGGTTTTCCAGATCTGAATCATTTTTATCTCCTATCTTTGAACCCTTTCTACCTTCTGTTAGTCTTTTTGTGATGTATTCTATGTGATGACATATCATTGTTTATATGGCATATTTTCCATATGAGTCTTTATCCTATTCTTTATGCGTCATAACACCGTTTGCATTTTTGACTGCTACTGCACATTGAGCAGAAGTCTCAATTGAGCTGTCCACAACGATGCCAAGGTAGTTTTCTCAAGATGATGCAGTTACTTTAGAACCAACTGAGCTGCAAAACTAATTCAAATGATTCCCTCCAATGTCTATTACTTTGCATTTGTCAACAATAAATTTCATCTGTCACTGTGTGGTCCATTCATCTAGTTTGGTTAGGTTTCTTCTGGTTTTGACCAACTTAAACAATATTGTGTCATCTACATGTTTTGACAGCTCATTGCTTGCCTCCTCCACTTTTAAATATATTTAGACACTGGTCCTCACACAGAACCATGTAGCACCCAACTGCTAATCCTTTGTCATGATGAAAACTGACAATTCCTATTCTTTATTTTCTATTTCTGATCCATGCCAGCACTCTGCCTCTCCTACCAGGACTATTGTACTTCACTATTTTAGTAGCCTCCTATGAGGGACTTTGTCAGAGACCTTTTGAAAAATCTAAACAAGTTATGTCAGCTGATTCTCCTTTTTCCATTATTTTATTAACACATGCAAAGAGTTCTAATAAAGCAGTGACTGTCCAGGGCTTGGATCTGTAGTCACACAATCACTTACTGGACCAAACATTAAGTATACAACAGAGATTCAGCTCCCAAGTAGGTTACTGTCAGTGTACTTTGCAGCTCCATTAAAGGGGTTTAAAGTTTATGAAGGGAGGTAAACTCCTATCTTCTCTGATGGATGTGAAATGGCTGGGGGATTCTCCTTTTGCTACAACTTGCTGATATGCAGGAGTTGGGGAAAGAAGTGATCTGACAGGTACAAAAGTCAGTCTTCACAAAGATGGGGGGGAAGCAAAACAGAGCAGAGATTGGGGAAAGCTTTTCCCAGAGACGACACTGGAGTGGTTGGGTTGGCTCCCCTGGAGCATATGGCAGAGTGCCCACTATTACAATGTGGTGGAGTAGTCACAGAAGATGGTAAACAGGAAGATACAACACTTCACTGCTCAGACTAGGGGATAACTCCTGGTGTACCAAATAAATGCAGACAGTTATCCTTATCTATTACTATCAGTCATCTATCTGATACTGGCACCAATATTTTTAAATTTGGTCCTGCAGACCAATCATGAAAGGAGGATGGGAGAAGAGGCAGAGTGTTTTGTAAACAAGCAGCAGATTTGCTTGCACTGTGTGTGTGAGCGCCATGTGTTTTTAAGGAGTGAAGGGAAGGAGTAATCCTTACAGAATAGAAGATTACAGACAGACAATCAGCAATCCATTTCTTTTATTGTCAAGTGTGTATGTGGGAGGTGCCAATAGGACCATGCAGAATAAGTCCTGTCATTTTTCCAATTCACGGATATGTAGGAGTGCACATCTGCAAGAAGGCACAATTTTGTAGCCAGATCATGGCAAAAAAAGAAAGGATGTGAGAGAGATTCACACCCAGCAAATCTGCCTTCGTCTACATAGTCATGCATTGGACTGTACTCTAAGGCTATGTCTACACTGGCAATTGAACAACAAAATTTTTGTCTTTCAGAGATGTTAAAAAAAAAAAAAAAAACCCCCGGAAGAAAAAAAAAGTTTTGCTGATAACAAGCGCCAGTGTGAACAGCGCTTTGTCGGCAGGAGCGCTCTCCTGCCGACAACGCAAACGCCGCCTGTTGGGGGTGGAAGTTTTTGGAGGCAGGAGAGCCGACAAACAGCAGCTACACTGCACGACTTTTAGCAGCACGGCTGTAGCGACACATCCATGTCAGTAAAAGCTGTGTAATGTAGACTGTGGCAAATGGAACAGGCAGGTGCTGTGTTTCTATGGATGTGGTGGGGGGAGGAAAAGTCAAAGGAAAACATGCCCCAACTGATTTAGTCTGTTTTAAAGTCATTGCAAAAACCTCAGATTAATTAAGAACCATTAGCTGACATTGTGATGATGTTCCTAATAGAGCTGCAGCCCTTGTTTCTTATCAACCATATCTAACTTCCAAAGGAGTGGAAGTAAATACTCGAAGTTCAAATCAAACAAAACAATACACAGACTAAGGGTAACCAAATAATATAAATTCAGAATTGCATTTTGTTCCTTTGTGAGGCTGGTTCCTATTGCAGACCTCTTCAAATGCTGGAGAAGATGAAAAGAACAGGAGTACTTGTGGCACCTTAGGCTTGGTCTACACTTACCCCACAATTCGAACTAAGGTACGCAACTTCAGCTACTTCGAAGTACCTTAGTTCGAACTTACCTCGGTCCACACGCGGCAGGCAGGCTCCCCCGTCGACGCCGCGGTACTCCTCTCGTATAGCTGGAGTACCGCAGTCGACGGCGATCACTTCCTGGTTCGACTTATCGCGTCCAGACAAGACGCGATAAGTCGAACCCAGAACTTCGATTCCCAGCCGCCGAACTAGCGGCTGGGTGTAGACATAGCCTTAGAGACTAACAAATTTATTAGAGCATAAGCTTTCGTGAAGTGGGCTGTAGCCCACGAAAGCTTATGCTCTAATAAATTTGTTAGTCTTTAAGGTGCCACAAGTACGCCTGTTCTTTTTGCGGATACAGACTAACACAGCTGCTACTGGAGAAGATGAAGTTACTTGTCTTCTGCCTCTTTTGAATAAAAGTAGAGTGCAGAATGTGCAATTGCATAACCTCCTGGGCAGTATACTACCCGGTTACTAGATTGAAGATTTGTATTGGAAAATATCAAATGCCGATTAAGAGCTTTCTGGTTGATTAAAAGCTGTGTTATCTGGCAGTTTATGTATTTATACACAGCACAAGCCACAATTGGTCCAGTATAAACAGGTAAGAACAATTTAATGATTTCAAGGATAGGGAGATAGCTGTTCCAGCCCACCCCAGCAGTAAGAGAAGTTAATTACAAGGATGTAGTATCCTCTTTTGAGACAGTGTAATTATAAGTGTTGTAAACGGTAAGGCTGCCACATGTTAACAGTTGTACCCTTGCATTGGCATTTAGAGGAACAAATACCAATAACCATTTTTCTTGGCAGTTTTGAACTGTAAGGACGAGAAACTTATATACCCCCCAAATAACAACAGCCTGGAGCATTGACTCCTACCCAAAAACTAAGAAACACAGTTGCACCAAGGTCACTCTTCTTGACCCAGCTCAAATCAAACGTAGAGAAAGTGACAGACCCACAATTGCACCTAATGTATTTCAGGGCAGAAAAACAGGACACAGCTCACTATTTGCAGTGAACGTAATCTCTTTTTCTGTTCTCCAATTATCCTTGAACAGACTTGGATTTTTACAAATGTATTTGTTATTTCAACCTACTGACCTCTAACAAATTATCATCACCATGACTACTGCATCATGTATTCATTACTTATCATTCACTATTTGTACTAAGCTACTGCTTAGTGCTGATTCCACTCCAACTGAAGGACTCCCAAACCCAAGGGAGCTTACAGGAACACGTCCAGCACGAATACACATCTGAATACATTTTAACAAGTATTTGTGATGCTGTTACTGTGAAAATTCTTACAAACAAAATTTGCTAATACAAGCATTTATGTAACGTGGATAAGAGGGGTTACAAATGCCATTAAAGCTCATTAGCAGTTTTTATTCAAAGATATCAAACAATTTTGCCGTATTTATACAGATCTAGCATATATCTCTTTCACAGGACAAATTAAACACACAAACTTCTCCCTTTTTATCCACAACTTCCAATAAATTTCAACTTCTAAAAAACTCATCATTACTGTAGTCTTTCATATTACAGGGCTTCGAGGGTGGGGGGGGGGGAAGGAAGAGGAGGCATGAATTTAATTAACCCTTCACTCCACCTCAAAAATTGCCTCAGCGAATGGCAGAGCAATGCTCAAGGACCACAGGAATAAATCCCAGGCACTCCTGCAAAGCCCTGTTCCAAGCAGATGTTCCATGACGTGAGCTACTTACGAACACTCAATGTTAATGTCATTTACACTTAATCAACACCGTGTAGATTATCATGCCAACAAAGAGGTTTGGTGTGAGGCTCTGGGCCTGCCCTCCTATCTTTGGGTGAGACTCCACCCACCCCCTCCAGGCAACACCGCCCATCCTCCCCCCTCTCCCTGTCCCTCACCCATGCAGCTGGGCAGACACAAGCCTCTAAGTTTTGTGTTTTTCTAAACCAGGAACCTGGGCCAAGAAGCCCCGCCGCCAGCCGAGGAAGGGAGGAAGCACCCAACCAGGGCTCATCAGGAGGACCCCACAAGCCTGGGTCGCTAACCACAAGGCGCACTGTAACACACTCCAGACTAGAGTGACCCCACCCCTCTGCCCCTCGGGGCCGGGACCCCTCTCGCTCCGCACGCCTCCCGGGTCGGGGCACTTTCCCCCCGTCCTCGCCTAGACCCCTCTCGCTCACCACACCGGAGCACCGCCCCCACCCCCATTCCAGCCTGGGCCCCTCTTCCTCCCCACACACCCCAGGCCAGGGCACCTTTCCCCGCCCAGCCCCTCTCGCTCTCCACGGCCCCCGGGCCGGGACACCTTTCGCTTGGCCTCCCTCGCTCCCACCCTGGGCCTCACCGATGAGGACGCGCAGGTGCTTGAGGCGGGTGAGCGGGTCCTTGCGGGTGTCCAGCACCTTCTGCGTGGATTTCCGCACATCCCCATGCGGCTTCTTGGAGAACATCCCGCCGGACCCCCCGGCCCGGCAGTCGGGCCCCCCCCGCTCCCAAGAGGCGGACAGCGGCCTCCGGATCCGCCCGCACCAGGCCCCCTACATAGCAAACAGCGGCAGCACCGCCTCCTCCGGCGATACGGCGGGGAAGGGGGAGTGGCGCGGAGTCAGCGCCCGAAAGAAGGGGGAGACAGGGCCTAAGCTCCCCCCACAGCTCTAGTAGTCCCGTTGCTTCACGACAGCCGTCAGGCACACCCCTGGTGTTCCCGTAGCAACCGCGCCGTGACGTCACAGCGGGGCTGAGGTGCCAAACGCACGCCGAGGCGGAAGGTTCAACTCTGCCTTAGGGGGCAGCGCCCAGGGTGGTGGCAAAGGGGTAGGGCTTGGGGAAGCGCGTGGGGAGAGTAGTGCACAGGACTGAGCTGGGTCAGTAGCTGGAGCAGAAGGAGCCATGGGTTGATTGGGGTAACAGCAGGCATTGGAGTCAATGGAGAGTGACCCCTGCCCTGGGATAACCCTCACCAAGAGAGTCAGGAAATAAAGTTTCAATTTCTTGCTAACACTTCTCTGTGTCACCTTCTTATGATCAGTAGCAAAATCAGTTTTTTTGACACTACAGCTACCAGGCAGAAGCAGGAAGGGAAGACATTTGATATAAGGACTCAATGCTGGGTCTCCTTCAGGACACCAAAATGACAATAGCCAGAGAAGGAAAATATCAATATTCCAAATATTGAAAAAGTCCCCAAAAGTTAAGGTTGGCAGTATAGCCAACATCTGGCATTCAAAAATCATAAGTCACCTGCCAACATTAAGTCTGACTTAAAAGTCATGAGTTATAAAATAATGTATCTCTCCCCACCCCATTTTTTGTCTTTTCATTTGACTTCTGGTGCATTTAGGGTTTGTGTTTTCAAGCATTTCTCTGCAACCATGAGTAAAGCTGTGATTTTGACACAGGGGTCATGATGTTCACAGTAAAATGAATTTGAATAAAGTCTGTGAGAAGTCTGTCCTGCACTCCCTCACTTTCACAGACCTTGGGAGGCAGGCCAGTCCTCGCCCACAGACAACCCGCCAACCTTAAGCATATTCTCACCAGCAACCACGCACTGCACCATAACAACTCTAACTCAGGAACCAACCCATGCAACAAACCTCGATGCCAACTCTGACCACATATCTACACCAGCAGCACTATCACAGGACCTAACCAGATCAGCTACAACATCACCGGCTCATTCACCTGCACGTCCACCAATGTTATATATGCCATCATGTGCCAGCAATGCCCCTCTGCTATGTACATTGGCCAAACTGGACAGTCACTACGCAAGAGGATAAATGGACACAAGTCAGATATCAGGAATGGCAATATACAAAAACCTGTAGGAGAACACTTTAACCTCCCTGGCCACACAATAGCAGATGTTAAGGTAGCCATCTTACAGCAAAAAAACTTCAGGACCAGACTCCAAAGGGAAACTGCTGAGCTCCAGTTCATTTGCAAATTTGACACCATCAGATCAGGATTAAACAAAGACTGTGAATGGCTATCCAACTACAGAAGCAGTTTCTCCTCCCTTGGTGTTCACACCTCTACTGCTAGCAGAGCACCTCACCCTCCCTGATTGAACTAACTTCGTTATCTCCATACTTATTTATACCTGCCTCTGGAGATTTCCATTACTTGCATCTGAAGAAGTGAGGTTCTTACCCACGAAAGCTTATGCTCCCAATACTTCTGTTAGTCTTAAAGGTGCCACAGGACCCTCTGTTGCTTTTCACTCTGCAGTGGCAGTTGCTGTCCTGCAAGGCTGGTCTCAGCTCACTGCTCTAGATGTTGTGGCCTATCCCTCCTCCGTAGATGGAGGCAAAAGGGACAGACACATCAAACCTGAATGTGATCTTGTGTGCCAGGTCGCAATGCCCAGAGAGCAGGGAACTAGACAGAGCACCACAGTACATGCATCTCTGCTGTGGTGTGGGTGCAGGGTGGACTCTCATGCCCCCTTTTGTGACTTACAGGCTTTTTCCCACACCTCTGCCATGAAATTTACTAAAAATTTATGTGCCAAAATCATAGCCTTAAGTATGAATGCTAAAAGGTTACTTTTTTTTTTTTTATGAAAGCTGAGGTTCTCAGGTGATAATGTGATCCCAGCAGCTAGAGCTTTAAGAAATATACCAACTGTTGCAGGAGTCATGGTAAAATTGCAAGAATTGGCAACATTATCTTGCTGATATAATAAAAGAACACATTTCATTACAGCACAATAACTTTAACTCTGAAGGTTGATTCTTTAATATTAAATATATATTACTTTATACTTAATGAGAATAATTTATCCAATCAGCTGGCAGTGCAAGATTTATTTTTAAGTGCTTGGTTTTCTAAATTGTGTGACAAGTAAATAGATTTTGTAATTCCACAACCTTAATTTTTTTAAATAATATTTTTGTTTTGAGAATTTGCCAGGCCTTATCTTTCTTTTATTTTTAAGCAACTAAAATGAAAGCATAGTTTTAGAAATTTTAAATAATAGAATGGGACTGTAACAGGGAGGATTGGAGGGCCAAGCAACCTAGTGGTTAGAGGACTCAACTTCCAGCCCCTTGCTTGATCAAGGTGCCCCAGACTTTAAGGCTGAGGGGGAGGTAGGGGAACCCAGGCCCTCCCACTCCACCAGGTCCCAGCCCAGGGCCCCGTGTAAGTCAACTCTTGGGTAGGGGGCCTCCCAGGAGGGAGACTACATTCACTGCAGTGAGCTACTTCCTATTGCCGTCCCTTCATTGTGAGGCATGGCCCCTATAGTCCAAGTTGCAGTGGTGACTTATCTCTAATAGTATCCCCTCATGGCCACTGGGTGGCATCCTGTTGTGGTCCCAGATTCCTCTGGGCAGGGCAGCCATGTGTTTGGCGGGGTCAGAACTCCACACGGTCTCTGTGCTTTGGTCTGGCTAGGGAGACGGTGCTTGTCACAGATGTCGGCTTCCTCCTTTTCCAGAGGGTGTTCAACCACAGCTCTGCCCAAGGCCCCGCCCCCACTCCACCCGTTCCAAAAGGCCCCACCATTTGCCTGCCCCTCTCTTTTTCTCTCTTTGGCCCAATAACTGTTCCACTCTGGATAAATACTTAAATAGTCATTGAACCAGAGACAGACAGCATGTGAGAATGGCTCTGTGATCCAGTGGTTAGGGAACCCAGGTGGGATACCCTGGGTCCAGTCTCCCTCTGCTCAGGGGCAGATCAATTATATAGATTTGATTAGGATTAGGGCCACAGTTTTTCCCTAGCTCGGTGTAAAAAGCATTATAAGAACATGAAAATGTTAAAATCATATACATTTTTGAAGGGCTTTACCTCAGGAACATTTGGACCAAATGATCCCAAATTTACACCACTAACTCTGCCTTCAACCGGCATAACATTTTTCAGGAAAATCTGACTTTGCATGTGGTGTGACAGGTTCAGTCACAGAGACCCCCTGATGTGCTGAAACTACCTCTGAGCCCGTTTTCCCTGCCAGCTTGACTTCCAGAACCCTGTCTTGTTGAGCCAGACACGCTACTCCGCTCCAAACAGACCCAGAGTCTGAACCACGTTCCCAAAGCTGCAGGCTTTAACTGAAAACCACTCAGCAGGTACTCCTGTCTCCAGCACCCAGACACCCAGCTCCCAGTGGGATCCAAACCCCAAATAAATCCGTTTTACTCTCTATAAAGTTTATACGGGGTAAGCTCATAAATTGTCCACCCTCTATAACACTGATAGAGAGATATGCACAGCTGTTTGCTCCCACAGGTATTAATCACTTACTTTGGGTTTAATAATAAAATGGGATTTTATTAAGTATAAAAAGTAGGATTTACGTGGTTTCAAGTAATAACAGACAGAACAAAGTAAGTCACCAAGTAAAATAAAGCAAAAACACGCAAGTCCAGGCCTAATACATTAAGAAACTGAATACACCCTCAGAGATGTTCCAATAAGCTTCTTTCACAGACTAGACTCCTTCTTAGTCTGGGCCCAATCCTTTCCCTAGTACAGTTCTTGTTAGTTCCAGCTCAGGTGGTAACTGGGGGATTTCTTATGACTGCCGCCTCCTTTGTTCTGTTCCACCCCCTTTTATAGCTTTGGCACAAGGCGGGAATCTTTTGTCTCTCTCTGGGTTCCCATCTTTCCTTCTAAATGGAAAAGCACCAGGTTTAAGATGGATTCCAGTACCAGGTGACATGATCACATGTCACTGTAAGACCTCATTCTCCATTCTTTCAGGGTTGGCCTGCACGTACCCAGGAAGGTTTGCAAGTAAACAGAGCCATTTACAACCAATTTTCCTGGTTAATGGGAACCATCAAGATTCCAAGCCACCATTAATGGCCCACACTTTGCATAGTTACAATAGAACTTCACAGTAATACTTTATATTTCTAGCTTCAGATACAATAATGATACAGTCATACAAATAGGATGAACACACTCAGTAGATTATAAGTTTTGTAATGATACCTTACAAGAGACCTTTTGCATAAAGCATATTCCAGTTACATTATATTCATACTCATAAGCATATTTCCATAAACATATGGAGTGCAATGTAACGTGTGGATTTTAGAGCACTTTCAAGAATCAGTTCTAAACAGAAAGTTCCACTCAATCTTAACAATGATGTGACTAAGGCTATTCCATAACTGGGTCTGATATTGCTCTCACTGAAGTCATTTGCAAAAAACTCCTATTAGCATCAATGGGAGCAGAACTGGACACCAACAAAAATGTTGCTTTAACACAGAATGGTTACCACACCTCTACATAATCTCAGTATCTGACTGTATAAACCACAGAACATATGTAACTATTTTTCTCATTATCATCAGTAAACATGGTAAAGAACAGGTAGCCGATGAATAGATATTGTTCCTGGGGTGATGCAGCCTTGCAAAGTTGTCATGAAATTGTAACAGGACCTAAGAAATGACATATAGTCTATCCTACGCTGATCTTCTCA